AGAGATTCTTTACTGCCAAAAAGGTGAGTGGCCAAGACATTGGTAATAAGTGGGAATTCTCGAGCTTGTTTTCATTTCTTGTTTATTTTCCTAATTATTTCTATTTTACCCTGGGGGAAAAAAAAAAACATTTTATTGAAGACAACTGTTGAGGTTAAACTGGACTCAATTAGGAATTGATGTAATCTAAACAGACCTTTTAGATATCCCAGGTGCTTTTAGGAAGCAGAGAAGAGATGTGTATCTTTCAGTCCTAAGGCTTGGCTGCCAGGGCAAGGAAATTAATGGAGGATCCAGTGCAAACAGCACAGAAGGAAATTTGGCAGAGCAGCCTTCAGTTTGCAGGAAGAGTTGGACGAGCTTGGGTGATTGATCTATAATGCAAATATGATTAAGTCATTTCCTCGCCTTAATGGATTCCCTCAAAAGTCCAGCACCGTGCCCACCAGCAAAGGCTCAGCTCTCCCGCCCACTTCCTCCCTCTGCTCCTACTTGGGCTCTGCCTCCAGGACTGCAGCCCTTTCTCGGCACAGGGCACAGACCTGCAGGGTTCCTCTCTCTACCTTCCTGCCCTTCCCTCGTTCTCACGTCCCGTTGATTCTCCAGGTGCTTCTCCCAACTCGGCCCTCTCCACTCCCTTCCTGCGGCCGCTCACTTTCCCCAGCTGCCCCATGGCCCCAAACAGGATATAGGCCCTCATTGCTCTTGCTGATTATGGAAGCATTTCAAACTCATTTAAAAAATACAGGGGCTGGAGCGATAGCACAGCGGGTAGGGCGTTTGCCTTGCACGCAGTCGACCCGGGTTTGATTCCCAGCATCCCATAGGGTCTCCTGAGCACCGCCAGGAGTAATTCCTGAGTGCAAAGCCAGGAGTAACCCCTGAGCATCGCCGGATGTGTCCCAAAAAGCAATAATAATAATAATAATAAATAAATACAGTAAGGAAAGGAGCAAAAAAAATGCAGCAAGGAAAAATACATAAGGAAAAGAATAAAGTTCTCCCCTGCTCTCATGAAACAGACAAAAAGAACTTTCGAATATATTCATGTTCGCAGCTGTGTGAGTCACTGTGGCTGGAAGGAGGAAGCAACCCAGTGTCCGTCCACCTATGGATGACCGGCTAAACCAAAAGTGCTCAGCCACACAATAGAGTCTCCTTCCGTCTTCAGAAGGAAGCCACAAGCTTCAACACGGATAATAAATTTTATGTTATGGGCATTTTACCATAACTTTTTATGTTTTAAGTCGGGGTTTAGAGCATTAGCACAGCAGGTAGGGCAATTGTTTTGCACACAGCAGCCCCAGGTTCAATCCCTGGCACCCCATAGGGTCCCCCAACCCCCGCCAGGAGTCATCTGTGAGCGTAGAGTCAGAAGCAAGCCCTGAGCACTGCCGGGTGTGGTCCAAAGACCAAAAAAAAAAAAATCCTTTAGAAAGAACGAATCTTTCTAGACATTTTTCCTTTTTCTGACAATATGTATGTATACACTTAGAAAAGATGAAAATAGAAACATACAAAACAGGAACATGTAATCTGCCTTTCACACCTAACCATGAGATGATGTAAACATCTCTCATCCAGCGCCCACCTCGTCCCTTCCTAATGGCTGAGAGGCCCCATCGCCTGCCTCCAGCACCACTTACCCAGTCTGCTCTGGGCTCCTCGATGTTATAAAAGCATCAGAGTCGACATCTTTGAATATCTCCCTAGTATGACTTTGGCTTCTTCCGTGTGCTTTTCCTGGTACCGATACTCTGGTTTTCTCACAAGAAACATACCTCCTCTTTATCCCAGCACCCACCCTCCTCCCCTATAGCTAGTTTCTGTTCTGAATTGTGAAACTGAGCACTTTTTTTTTGGGGGGGGGTTACACGCAGGGGTTATTCCTGGCTCATGCACTCAGGAATATCCCTGTCGGTGCTCAGGGGACCATGTGAGATGCTGGGAATTGTACCCGGGTGGGCCGCGTGCAAGGCAAATGCCCTACCCGCTGTGCTATCGCTCCAGCCCCTGAGCACATTTTAAAAATATTCCTAGGTATTTATTTTTCATGTTTCTCTGTCATTTCTCCCGTAACTACACTTGCTGTCTGATACCGCTTGAAAAATTAAAAAAAAAAAAATTAAAAAAAAAAAGCTTTGCTATTTGTCTACTTGCGGCTGTCTATTCTCTTAACCTTATAAAATCTGACTTATTTTGCTCACTTAATTCTCATGTGTGCTCCCAGCAGATAATCTTTTCATGGCTAGACAATCACATCATGGAGAGAGTTATTGAGCGTAAAAGCTCTGGATTCAAGCAGACCCGAATTCAAGCTCTGGACGCAACTGGTTATCCTGGTGCCTCCTCAGTTTCCTCAGCAAAGAACTGTAAGAAAGGTGAGATTATCCTGCAAGAGCCAAACTAGTGACTGAGACAAGTGTGTGAAAAGCGCTTACGATAACATGAGCTCGGCAAGCCCCCACTAGGAAATCATCTCCCTCCGCACACATATACCTTCTATTTTTCCTCGTTGGTGTTTCTTTGCGACCCTCACCTTGGGTCCCACTTCACTGAAAACAAAAGCAGAATTCGCCGGGCTCCACAGAGAGGAGAGACAGAGATGAGGCGCTCTCGTTCATTCCCTCCGACCTCCTCACCAAGCCGGTGTCTGGAGGGTTTCCCTCGACCTCCTGGACTTTCTCAGCCTCTCCTCACTCCTGGCTCTCTGTCCTCCACTTTCGAATGCACTCACGTCTTGCTCCTGCTTAAAAAGACTTCACCTCGGGGGGCTGGAGCCATAGCACAGCGGGTAGGGCGTTTGCCTTGCACGCGGCCAACCTGGGTTCGATTCCCAGCATCCCATAGGGTCCCCCGAGCACCACCAGGAGTAATTCCTGAGTGCGTGAGCCTGGAGTAGCCCCTGTGCATTGCTAGGTGTGACCCAAAAAGAAAAAAAACAAAAAAGGACTTCACCTCATTCCCTGATCCCTCTCCAGCCTTCTCCGTCTTTCCCTTCCCAGCAAACTTCTTTGAGCTGCCTACACTTTTGTCTTTCCTGTACCACCTCCCACTCTCCCCTCAGCCCACTGGCACATTCCACGGAACCTTTGGAAGCTGCGGCTGTTAGCGAGTCCTCCCCCAGCCGCTCGCCAGATCTGCTCAATGAGGGCTCCGGTGACCTCTCCGTTAAATTTACCCACAGCACACATCTCTGCACGGCGCTTATGTTACTTGAAATCTCACAGCCACCAGCAAAGGGGACGCCTTCCTTTGGCTGCGAGAACCACACTCTCCCAGTCTTCTTCCTACCTCCCTGGCCATTTCTTCCTCCAGCGATCGACGTGAATGATTCCTCTGAGACTGATCACAGAGGGCCCACAATCTGGGCTTTAAAAAAAGAAAAAAAAAAACAGTAACTGTGACCAGGTCTTGTTCCAAACTGAGTCACCGAGGGATGTGGCATTGAACTTCCCCTCCACATACGGTTCCTTTGAAGGTGTTGTCAAGACTGGTCAGAGGGCAGAATCGGATTCCTTCTTACCCCCACAGTGCCTAGTACCTGGTACTTGCTCCACACCTTTTTTTTTTTTGAATCCCCAGAAATGAATGGTTACAATGTGAAAAACAAACCAGAGGAATGATGGGAATGATGAAACCAAGAGAGAGAGGGAGAGAGAACAACCATCACCAAAACATTCCTGGTCTTTCTGAAGCCATAACTCTGATCAACACCAACACAACACAAACTCAGCGCCTGCTTAAAATCCTTTGGGGGGGGTGGACAGAGAGACAGGACAGAGGTTAAGGTGCTTGTCTTGTGCGCGATCAACCCCAGTTGGGTCCCCAGCACTCCATAAGGTCCCTTGAGCACCACTAGGAGTGATCCCTGGGCAAAGCCAGGAGTAGCCTAAGCACTGAGCACCACCAGGTGTGGCCCCCAACCCACCCCCCAAAAAAATGGTTTTTTAATTGATCATTCTCTGAGATGGACCCCCCAAACCTCAAAATTGGCCAGGCGACACACAGTAAGGGCCACTGGCTCCCATCTCAAACACCCTCCAACCAACCAGACTGTTTTCACTTCCCTGCCTCTGTGCCCCCCCTTCCCAATCCCCGCCCCCACCCCCACCTCCATCCACTGTGGTTTCTTATAACACTGTCGGGTTCTGTATTTGGAACACGGTGCATTCCACAGTTGCCCGGATAGCCCTGGAGGGGGGGGGGGGGGGAGGGGGTCCTCGAGGAAGCTGCCTTCCTTGGGATTCTCTGACCACCCTCCCTCGTCCCCGGGAAGTGGGGGGGGGGGGCGGGTCAGCAGCCTTCTCTGACCATCCTCAGTCCCCTGCGGGGGGCTCCCACCCAGTGCCGTGCAGTGCACGGGCCTGTGTCTGGGTCCAGCCGCCCGGTGTCTGGGGGGGGGGGAGGAGGAGGGGGAGGAGGAGGAGGAGGAGGAGGAGGAGGAGGAGGAGGAGGAGGAGGGGATGCCTCGATCGACCACTGCCCTCCACCCCCTCTGCACCCCCCCCCCGCCCCACCCCAGCCCCTGGCGATGCGCCCGGACCCTGGCACCGTCCACGCTCGGAGTGGGAGGCAGCAGCAAAGCGCCCACGGGCCGAGGACCCCTTCCAGGGGTCTGCGCTCCGAGACTGCGGGTGGGGGGTCTCTCGGTCAGTTCAAGCCCCTTCGGCTCCGGGGGAAACGAAAGCACCCAAGAGGGTCCCCTCCGGAGCGCCGAGGGGGGCACGGACAGGCATTCCCAGCGATTCCGAGCTAAGCCCCCCTCCCGACCCCGCCGTCACGAGGGTCCTCCTTGCTGCTGGCGCAAAGAAACTTTGGGACCAGGGCACCCCGCGGCTCGCAAACACCGTCGCCCGCGGAGCCCCCTCCTCGCCCCCTCCAGGGTGCGGGGACCAAAGGGCGCCCGGGGGCGCGGATCGGGGGACAAAGGTCCGGCCCGGACGCCTTCCCGGGGGTCCCCGGCGGCCCCCCACCCCGCGGCCGCGGCCCCAGCTCACCTGCTCCCCGCCGCCGCGGCTCCCCGGCCCGCTGCCCGCAGCGCCTCCCCCGGGCTGCCCGGCGCCCGCCGCGCGCCGCGGAGCCCGTTGCCTTGGCGACCCGCAGGGCCGAACGCGGAGCCTCGCGCTACGGCGGCCCGGAGGGGACCCGCCGCCTCGCGTTCGCGGCCGCGCGGTTCCCGGGCGGGCGGAGGAGGGCAAAGGCGGCTGGGATTGCGGCGGCTCCTGAGCGGCTCAGCGCGCTCCCCGAGTGGGATCTAGCCGGCCTGGGACTCGGACCCCGAGGGAGGGACGGGGGAAAAGAAGGGGCTGCGGTGGGAGACGCGGAAACGGCAGGGCCCAGGGCAGGGCGAGAGCTTGGTCTTCTGATGCTGCTGGCCTCTCGGTTGCTCTCTGCCAAGCTGGGATGGGGACCGCTGGAGAAGGAAGGGGGCGGGAGGGGAGGCGGCGGAGGTTCGGAGGGCGATAAGGAAAGTTTGCTAATCAGGGTATAGTTAATAGAAAGGGGGGGAAAAAGGACGTGGCGTGAATAGCAGGTGCCTTTTTTTTTTTTTAACTGCTTTTTGGGTCACACCCGGCTATGCACAGGGGTTACTCCTGGCTCATGAATTACTCCTGGCGGTGCTCGGGGGACCCTGTGGGATGCTGGGGGTCGAACCCGGGTGACCGTGTGCAAGGCAAATGCCCTACCCGCTGCGCTATTGCTCCAGCCCCCTCAGGGATATGCAGGAAATTGAACCCCGGTTGGCCGCTGCAAGGCAAACACCCTACCCGCTCTGCTATGTCTCCAGCCCAATGCCCCTTCTTTCAGATCCCCAAGGCGTGGAGTGCCAAAGACTGTCATCAGCTTGTTTCTTTTGGGTTCAGAGAGCTATTCTGGGCCAGAGAGATATTATGACAGGGTTACCCGCGTTTGCACGAGGCAGCCCCCAGTTCAATCCCCTGCACCACCTGGAGTGATCTCTGAGCACAGAGCCAGGAGGGAGCCCCGAACACCGGAGTGATCTCTGAGCACAGAGCCAGGAGGGAGCCCCGAACACCGTGGGGTGTGCCCAGCCAACAGCAACCTAGAAGTAGATCATTAATTTGAATAATGATAGGTTTCATTGGAGTCTGGAAAATAATTGGATTCAGCCAGGCAGTTCTGTGAGCTGGAAGGAAATTCATGGCTCCAATTGTTTGTAGTAGCAAAAGGATTGAAACCAGCCGAAATGCCACTAATTGAGTAAATAAATTATGTTGCTTTATAAACTGGATTACGTGAGCAAAAGTTAGGAGAGGAGGTGGCTATAGATAGAGATGTTTGGAGACTCCTAACCAGTCCCACCCTTGATTTTACTCTTGTTTTGGTTTTTGTTGTTTTTTTTTTTTTTAATTCTTATTAGTGAGACACCATGAGGTATAGATGTAGACTTGCAAATTTTTGTGCTTGGATTTTAATTATACGATGATCAAATACCCATCCCTCCACCAGTGCTCATTTCCCACCACCATGGATCCTAGTATCTCTCCCACCCCCCATCTTCCCCATCTCACCCTGCCTCTGTGGCAGGGCATACCCTTTTGTTCTCTCTCTCCTTTCCGTGTTGTGGTTTGCAAAAGAGGCATTGAGTGACAATCATGTTTGGTCTACAGTCTACTTTCAGCATGCTTCTCCCATCCTGGGAGGATCCTCCCAACACCCTTTATTTGGTGCTCCACAATGGAGTACTATGTAGCTGTTAGAAAAGACCAAGTCATGAAATTTACACACAAGTGGTACTACATGGCAAGTATCATGCTAAGCGAAATGTGTCAGAAAGAGAGGGACAGACATAGAAAGATTGCATTCATCTGGGGAACATAAAGTAACAAAATAGGAGACTAACACCCAATTATGGCCGAGATTAGTACCAGGAATTTTACTCCATGGCTTAGAGGCCAGCCACACATGCTAGGGGAAAAGGGAACTCTTGTTTTGTTTTGCTCTGTTTTGGGAACCCACACCCAGTTGAACTTAGGGCTTACTCCTGGCTCTCTGCTGAGGGATCCCTGCTGACAGGGCTCAAGAGATCATAATTTGTTCAATTCTGCTGAGAATTGAACCCCAGTCTGCACTGTGCAAGGCAAAGAATCTTACCCACTGTACTGTCTCTCAGGCAACTCATACCTCCCACCACAACCCAGCTTGTCCCTTTGTTTCTCCACCCAGAACGATGTGTTTTTAAATGCCCACATGATCAGATCCTATCTTTCTGCTCAAAACTTTTCAACAGTGCACCGGTGGAAGGATGGGTTTTCGACTGACACTCAGTCATGAAAGCTTTGTAACCATATCTCACAGCAATTCAATAAAAAATAATAATAAATTTTTAAAAAGCCTTTTCAGGGGCTGGAGCAATAGCACAGCGGGTAGGGTGTTTGCCTTGCACGCAGCCGACCTAGGTTCGATTCCCAGCATCCCATAGGGTTTCCTGAGCACGCCAAGAGTAATTCCTGAGTGCATGAACCAGGTGTAACTCCTGTGCCTTGCCGGGTGTGAACCCCCGCCCCCAAAAAAGCCTTTTCAGCAGCACTGCCGTGGGGGGAGAAGAAGAAGGGAAACTGCCTCTGACATGGGTGGGAATGGGTGTTGGAACATTATACAACTGAAACCCAGCCATAGACAATCTTGAAGCTCAGGGTGATTCCATTCAGAACAAAACAAAACATCACATTTAGAATAAAAACCAGAGTTATTATCATGGTCAACCCGCCCCTAATTGAAGTACCCCCTGACCACTAACCAAGTTCATCTCTTACCATATTTCCTCTAGTCTGTGCTTGAGTCACGCTGAAGTCACAGGTTATAAGTCAGGTACACTTTTGTTGGTCAGTCTTCCTCCAGATAATCAGGTGACTAGCTTCCACACATCTTTGGCCTCTTAGCTTGAGCTCAAGCCCCGGGTTTTCAGAAACACCTGCCCTGACCACTCGTTTGAAAATCTCTGTGCTCTTCTCTCCCACTTGATATTCCTTCCACTCCTCCCGCTGGGGAATCTGACATTAGATATTTGTTTTTCACTTGTCTGTTTCCCTAAGGCAGAAGCTCTTTTAGGGAAAGGAATTTTGGTTCCTGCAGTTTTCACATGTCTGGGAAGAGAACCTGGCACATAGAAAGAGCTTGGTAAATATTTATTGAATGAGTGAATAAGTTAAGTGAAAAAAAAAATGCCATGTGGTTGGATTGCTACCCCCGGTAAAAAGGGGGTGATGGGTACTTTCTATAACTTAGCATCTGTATATCCGAACTGGAAAGAGATCTGGGAGATGTAGGTGTAAGAGAGTACATTTTTACTATGTTCTTTCATAAAATGTTTTAATTTGAATTTTATGCATCTATTTGAATGGGAGGGGACAGACCCAGTGGTGCTCAGGGATCCTCCCAGTGAAGCTAGTGGTGCCAGGAGGTGCCAGTGGATTGAACTCTGGCCTCTTGCATACAATAATGTGCTGCAGTCAATTAGGCTCCCCCTGTCTCCTTATTTCCTTTAACATTTCTCCCCTTCTCTTCCTTTTTGTTGCTTTTGCAATGACTGGGGCGGGGGGGGGGGGGTCGAACACTTGGTTGCAGAGTGACAGAGCCCACACATTCCTTTTTTTTAAAATTTTTTTATTTTTTCATTTTTATAAAGTTGTTCACAATATTTGATTATATTTAATATTTGAACACTAGTCCCATCACCGTTATACCTTCCCACCACCATATTTCCATCCCGAACCCCAAACCCTACTCCCAAAGCAGCACGGAAATAGTTTATTAAAAAAATTAAATTAAAAAAATTTGTATTGCTTGCTATGAATAATCTACTAAAAAGACACAAAAAGTTTTCTTAAAGGAAAGTATGTGAAGATTGTTGAATTTCACCCAGGAGCCAGTCAGCCCTTCTATAAGAGATTTAATTTCATTTTCATTTCATCATCCTGTTATTTGTCGATTGCCTCGAGCAGGCCCCAGTAACTTCTCCTTCATCCTAGCCCTGAGATTATATTCAAGGCTCTTTAGGAGAATGAGACCCATCATTGTTACTGGTATTTGGCATATTTGGTACGCCACGGGGAGTTTGCCAGACTCTGCCCTGTGGGCAGGCTACATTCGATAGCCTGCAAGTTTGTCCAAAGTAGGAATGAGATAATAAGATGTCATAAAAGATGTCCTGATAAGATGTCTCCGGCGGCCTCGAATGCGGCCACACAGTTCCGGGAGCTGGGTTTTATAGTCTCTGAGTCTTGGCCGCTGATGGGATTACACGGCGCCAGGGGGCCAGGTGGTGGGTGTGACCCCCGCCTACTGGAATTTGGAGGATCTGGGTGGAGGATGCTCGACTCCAATCCGAGTAGGCTGGGAGATCTCGGCCCCGGAACCCGCGTGGATTTGTCCCTCTGCCAGTACCTTCAGGTGTGCGGAGAGTGGTCTCAGCATGGTGGTGGCTGGTCCTGGAGGTCTTCGGCTGCTGGAGCCCTGGTCAGGGCGGGGAGGAAAGCTCAACCCGCTCCCCTCCAACGGGCCCCGGCGAGGAATAGCCAGGCGCGGGAGCAGACTGCACTGTTCTCTCTCTCTCTCCCTATAAGAGATTAGTAACATGATGTTAAAGGTTGAGCCTTGTGTGCTTATATCTATATCTGTATAAATATATTTCCTCCTAAGATTGATTGCCTTCTACTATTTTTTTCTTTTTGGGTCATACCTGGTGATGCACAGGGGTTACGCCTGGCTCTGCACTCAAGAGTTACTCCTGGCGGTGCTCAGGGGACCATATGGGATGCTGGGAATCGAACCCGGGTTGGCTGCGTGCAAGGCAAACACCCTACCCGCTGTGCTCTCTCTCCAGCCCCTGCCTTCTACTTTAAACCCCATCAAATGTGGTGTGCTACTCAGTGGTGTAAAATATGAGATGTCCAGGAATAGATTCATTCCTGGGTGAGGCTTGTCCAAGAGTGTGAAGAGCGACTGTGAACACAGCAGCAGTTGAGTTTTGGAGGTTTTCAGCTGCTGGGGCGACTCCTTGGGGCAGGGAGGGGGGGTTCTCACCCACCGCCCTCCTGGTTGCCCCGGATGTAACAGCCTGGCGTGGGGTCTGGCAGCAGGCTAAGG